GTGCCAGCAGCACGACTGGATCGGGAATCATTCGGCGGACTGCGTGCAATAGAGCTGGACGTACGAATTGACGGACGGACGAGGAGGAAGTCGAAGTAGGCGCGGCTGAATTCGTGTCTGTTTCACAACTGCCCAGTGTAACAGCCGAGAAAGGGAGCCACACAATCCATTTCCTTTAGGCGACCGAAGAAGAAGAAGAAGAAGAAGAAGAAGAAGAAGAAGAAGAAGAAGAAAAAAACAGCTGGCCTGCCGGCAAGGAATGCACTTTTTGACCCCCCCCCCCATCATCACCATTTTTCTCCCCTACATTATCATTTGTCCAAGCATTGAATATTGATGCAACATCTGGTCTGGTGCTTCGGCTATGTAATGAGAGATTCTTGACAAAAACTTGACAATGTTATCAGTCCTGTACTGGCATCTTGGCTTAAGTCACTTTCCACTACCGTAAGGTAGCTTCATAGTAATTATTCTGATGACCTTTCCTCTTTGGTACATTGACTGTGAGTTATTCGCAGTACTAGATTGGCAGATAGGTCTCATCATTTTACATTTGAAATTACTAGATGTAACCGTAATATCTATACTAACTGTTTCTTTTCTCGCACTTCTCGATTGTGGAACTCCCTTTCTGCTTCTTGCTTTCCTGCGAACTTTGATCTTCAAAAATGTAAATGTAATCATCGTTTTCTGTTTTCTTATTATCTGTTCTTTTATTGTCCTCTCATTAACAATGTGTTTTTTTTCTTTCAGATTCTTTTAAACTCAGTAACGCTTTGCGTCTTAGCGGCTTTATCGCCTTGTTTGATGTGAAATGATTAAAAAAATATATTCAAACTGTGTTATCGCTTTTAGAGATATTAAAAAAGGCTGAATATCTTCCGGTTGTATCTCGTAAGATTTATGAGCCAGTGAAACTCTTACAACGTAAAGTGTGTGTGTGTGTGTTTTTTTTCTGTAAAACTAAAACCGTGTAGATTGTATAAAAGATTGGCTATATTGAATGCTAAAGAAGCAGATTCTTATGACACTCACAAATTGTAGAAAAATAAATAAAAAAAAAACATCCGTGTGCTGTCAAATACGTCCGCGCCCATTCCATAAAAAGTGACGCGCACAATATTCAGCGTTCACTTTCTACGCGTTTGAGTCGAGCCCACATCCTTTTCTAGCATAAGACATAGGAGACCATGGTTTCGTTTGTATGCGCATACTCACTGTGCATCAGTTAATATTTCCTCCGTCGATCTTTTCTCCCAGGCAACGCCCGGAACATCTGCTCATATTTAATAAACATCATTTAAATGACGCTTTCAAGAAGCAACGTGATCTTTGTTTCGATATCGTATTAGCCGTTTGAATAGTTAAGTTTTTGTTCTTATTCCATAATCATTTCACCCCAAGCAAGGCAGTGAACTCACTAAGACATAACTGATTACTTAGTGTTAAAGAATAAAAGAAAAAAAAATATTAAGGAGCGAGAACAATAAAAGAATCAAGAAGCTAACGATTGATATTGCATTTCAAATTTTTGTAGATCAAAGTTAGCTGGAAAACAAAAAAACTAGACGACAGTTCCACAGGTGAGAAGTGCGAGAGAAAAAACTGTTAGCAAAGAACTTACGGTTACATCAAGAGGATGAGTCATTGCTGACAATCAAGAACTGCGCTTAAATTCATAAATTCTAGGTACCATGGCGGAAAGTTCATCAGAACAGTTACTATGAATTTTTAACTAGAAAAGTCAAAGTGAAGTGGCATTATGGCGGTGGGAAAATGACAGAAGCCGGGATGCCAAGTCAGGACCAATAATATTGCAGATTCTTCTTCAGATTTTATCAAGGATCTCTACATATATAACAGGAGCACAAGACCATATGCAGCAGCAATATTCGAAGCATGGTAAGACTTAGAGATATGTAAGATAGATTCTAGCGAGGAAGTTTGTGTAGCTCAACACAGTGAACCAACTTTTCGAGCAGTAGTCCTAACATTTGATTTAATATAACTTCACCTCATGTCAGCAGAGAGAACGTTAGCCCGAGAAGGTGCAATGGGTCACTCTCCTGGAGGTTAGCATTAACCATGTTGATGGAAGGTCGAAAGCAGTCTCTGAGATGATTACTATAAAGCAGTTTTGTCTTGTAGGCGTTAAAATTAACAAGCCATTGCTTGCCTCAGTTAACAACAGATTTTAGGTCACTTTTGAGATCAGCTTCCATTTTGACCTTATCAAACCGGTCAGACTTACTATTTGGACAGGAATAAATAGTTGTGTCATCAGCATAGATACGAAGTTGAGAGTTGCATTTATATTCTAATTGTTTTTTTATAGTATATTTGCCAACCGCCTCACGCGGTCAGATGTGGCACAAGGCCGAATTTAAAGTGAGGTATCCGAGCCCATAGACTCGGACAAAAATTCCCCGTAGACCCCATAAAAACGGGGTCGGGTAGCTGTCTACCACCCAAGACGAGACTCTGCTCTTCGGCATAGTCTTTTTAAAGATTAATTCTCACTTGAGAAAGAAAAGAAAACTGATTTGGGGACAACGGAATCAATTACAACGTAATTGATTATATTCAATGTTATTATTTTCCTTAGAGGCTTATTGTAAAATTTCTAACGCCAAGAAAACCAATGAATCTAGTATATTAATGTACTCGCCCAAAAGATGGGAATATATTATTTCCCATGCTTTTTAGATTATGAATTTCCGTCCTTAGAAGTTTTCTCTTATTTCACATTATATTAGCAAATGTTCATTATTCCTTCTCTGAGTTTAGAGTGTGTGACTGGCGTCAAATCGGTCGAGTTTCGGTCCCGGCTTGAAGCAATCGGGTGTCTAGTCACACTGATGAGCTGTGATACAGCGAAACACTATGTCTGTGGATGACAATAATAATAATAATAATAATAATGTATCGGTGGAGAGGGGGTAAATTAAATATACATTCTTTTCATCAAAGTTTGAAACCAAGGTAGCAGAATCGGCTGATCTCCTAATTTTTATAACACACACACACACACACACACACACACACACACACACACACATCTATCTATCTATCTATCTATCTATCTATCTCTCTCTCTCTCTCTCTCTCTCTATATATATATATATATATATATATATATATATATATATTATGTTAATATCTATACTCGACTGTATCTTTTGTCATAGGCTCTTCAGCCAGCTTACCATGAAGATCCATTTAAGCGAAATCTAGTTAGGTAGTTTCTGGTTCATTAGATTATATATATATATATATATATATATATATATATATATATATATATATATATATATTTTTCGTTAAATATGACGGGCAGAGAAAATTTTATTTATATTTTATATAGTTTTTCCAACGTTTTTACATTCTTTATTTTCTATAAATAATGCCATACTATACTATGGTAATTGTTCTAAAATACTTTGCCTAAATGGCACCTAGACTATGAATTTAAGCGCACTACTAGATTGACAGCAGGATCCCATCTTTTTCCAGTTGAAATGGCTAGATGAAACCCTAAGGTGTATGTACGCAGCACATCTCGCTTGTGGAACATTCTACCAGCTCCATGCTTTCCAGGAAAACATTTAAATGTAATGTCAACAGTTATCTTCCGTCTTTTTAATCACTGTTCTTTTATTGTCCTTTTTCCCTATCACTTAGTAACCCCTTCCAATTAATGTATCAATGTCCAGTAGAGAAAGCAAAAGAATGGCCAAAACTAGTCGAGGAATCTAAATGAAATAATAATAAAAAAAAAGAAAGAATATTAATCTACAACCCAGTGTGTCTGAAGATTTTAATTTTTTAATATTTTTTATTGTTCAAAATATATATATATATATATATATATATATATATATATATATATTGCAAAAAATTAGGTTAATCATATACTACACTAAATCTAGTATATCCAACTTAATTATTCGCAATGATTCTTCCCCACTCCCCGTTAGCGATTTGCAAAGAAACATCATAATTTACAAATACAAGTGCCCTTTGGGAGATTGTATCTCCAATGGATTAAATAATATTTATGTTGGTCACACCACAAACTCGCTTTCACGACGCTTGACTCTACATTTGAATGATAACTCTAACGTTTTTTGGCATTTAAAACAACATGCCTGGCCGCGTACACAATTCCAGAAAATCCCTGTTGAAAACACAGCTATACTTAAACATGAAAACAATAAACGAAAACTAAAAATTCTTGAAGCTATATACATAAAACAGCTGAAACCTAACTTGAACAAAATAAACTACGAAATCTCCGCAAATATTTTAAATGCCTACAATTGATAACAGAAGCCATTGGTTATACCAACGACTTCCCATACTTAATACTTCTCGTTTTCACTCACACGTGGTCATGTGTGACGTCACACGCTGCGAAGCGATGTTCAGTTCCGCGTCTCGTATACACGAGTTAGTCGTTGCTTTGGTTGATATATTGAAAAATAATTGTCATCTTTGATAATGGCTTATGTAAGCCGAAAGCTTAGATTTGATTTAAACATGTATTAATATGGTGATTTCCTTTCGTCTTTATCAGACAATATGAAAGGAACTTACTTAAAATAAATAGACAAAACTTGTGAATATTATTTAATGAAACATGCATCAATATACATACATACATACATACATACATATATATATATATATATATATATATATATATATATATATATATATATATATATATATATATATAAGTTAAATAAAAGTATGGATGAAATCTTTAATAAAACCTTTGTGTTTAAGTTATTTCGCTATTTATTTAGCTTCAGAAATTTTGGAAGCGGAATATTTTGATTTTTACATTTTATGGAAAGAAAACAACAGAGAATTGAAATATCGAAACAACTATATTCAAATGCTCCCCATAATTAACCGATCTGTGAGAATCTTTTGAAGCTTCTTTATCTCACATCGTCAAACGAAAAGCAAAATTCCCTTATTTCAAATTGCCTGACCACTTCCGACAGAGTTGGTTGACGCCTTTTCAGTAACTTGTACCGAGCGTTGTGATTTTGAAAGCCAAGAAGAAAGACCATTCACTACCTCTCTGTGTCGTAATACTTTCATTTCCATGAACATGAATGTTCTATTCATATATGGTTACTTTGCCAAAGCCACATAAACATGACGTGTTCTTTGTCATGTGATGCACAACTGTTAATCAGTCACGTGTCTTTTGAGGAAACAGTTTTGCTGAACATATTAGAGTAATAAGCAATTTATGAAAACTGATCAACTAATTATTGTCGCCAAAACTTGAAGCAAAAAACAATGAATAAATATGGGCCAATGGAAGTGTTTGCAAATGGTAAAAAAAAAATTCCCAGGAACTTTATACCCAGCCTATATATATATATATATATATATATATATATATATATATATATATATATATATATATATTCTAGGCGTGTAAAGGCTATTTGTCGTCACGCCTACTCGAACGGAATGTGCCACAAGGCCGATTTGAAAATTGAGTAAAAAACACGAACGTATAATTGCAGGCACGTACACGTGTAGACAAACACCCAGACACGCATTTATAAAGAATGACAGATCTACATGGTTAAACACACTAGTGGAAGGTAATTAATTAAATGAATTTGAACAAATGGACACGTCAATATGTTCAAATATCCAAAGTAGAGAGCTTCGGAATGTATACGCTGGCAATCAGTTACATTCCTCAGCACTCAAGCGATACAGGGACGAATCACCATCGATTTATGTACAAACACATATACATGTATGCATTTATATAGGAGGTGTTGTATTCCCTATCTATCTATCTATCTATCTATCTATCTATCTATCTATCTATCTATCTATCTATCTTAGTTTGTTCATATCTGTCTACTTATCTCCTCTGTTCATATCTATCTATCTATCTATCTATATTTCTCTCTCTCTCTCTCTCTCTATCTATCTATCTATTTGTATATACATTTATATACTCCACCGTGCCTCGAGAGGAGGCACGGTCGAGTAATGGATATCGGCTTGGATTGAAGAATCGGAGAGCCGAGTTCGAATTCCAATCGAATCCATTACATTCACTTATGTGCTAATACCCTTGGGAAAGGCATGAATCCTCTTCTTCTCCCCCCAGATATGGATAAATAGCAGAGCAGACCGGGTTCTATAGCCTTGGACGACAACTGGTCTAGGAGAAGGACAACTCTGAATTTAGTACCTGCGGAGGGTCGTTGGAAACCTTGTGGCACGTAGTGCACCAGGTCTCTGTATTTGGCCTCAAAAAGTGTGGTTTGTTCTGCACAAAAACTTCACCACTATAATCATATGTGCAGGTGTCTGGCTGTCGGTTCCAAGAAACTGAGCTTGACCCTCATACATCGAATACGTCGGGAGAGTCAAATATATATATATATATATCACTATTCATTATCTATCTATCTACATATATCTCTATCTATAAAAGGCAGGATGTGTGTGTGTGTGTGTGTGCGTGTATGTGTGTATAACGAATGCACGGCCGCAATTTTCGACGAATTTGCAGCAAAATTTACATGCACATGCACCAAGTTAGCTGGAAGGCCAAGACCGGCTTTGCATTTCCCAACTCCCATCCATTGTGGAAATAATCAATTTTTTTAATGCTTCTACGGCAGTTTTCATTAAGTTTGCGGCCATTTTGTACTGTCCAGAGTGGGAGCCTATAGCTGGCTGCCACGAATAGGCAGGAAGATTCTACTGGCCAGCGTGAGATCCAACAACTGATTGACACGAATGTTAACTAGCATGCAAAAAAAATCGATAGCTGCATTCGTCACAAGTGGAAAAAATTTAAATCTGCATGGCACTTTACTCCAATTGGCTCATTCGCTTGCTTAAACTCAACGTTGATTCTGGAAACTGGGCTGGGTATGAAAAAGTATTTGTTGTTAACATTCTTTTTTCATTCGGTTTTTCCAGTTACGAGTCCTTTTTTAAAGCTGATCGTTTTGTGTTCATTTTGTTTAGTTCTTTTTTCGTAACAGATTTAATGTTTAGTATAGAGCTTAGAAAAAATTCGTAGTGTGAGATAAGTAAGGCATGTAGCAACATCAGCACGGAAAAGGGCACTCCTTTAAAGGCAAGGAAGGGCAAAAATATTTTAAGTCAAGTGATAGCGATTGCTGTATGAGTCGTACGATTTTTAATCAAGCACGGACAACGCCGGGCCATGCTGCTAGTATATATATATATATATATATATATATATATATATATATATATATATATATATATATATATATATATATATATCACTCTTCATTATCTATGTAACTATATATATATATATATATATATCAATCTTTTCGTTATCTATCTATCTTCCTTTTTCCGTTTTAAAAAAGCTTCTAATCTTCTATTTTGTTCATTTTTTATTACTCCCAATTCTCTCTCTCTTTCTTTCTTTCTTTCTTTCTACTATCGTCTTCCTTCATGCTGCAACCATTTTGAAGTTAACCGGGTCACAAATATGTTTTAACATCATTGGGTGCTTCGACTTTTTGTAATGGTTAACCAGATTGTTTTGCCATATCAATTACAATTGAGTAGTACAATCAATCATCAGTGAGTACACCATACACAAAAAAAAAACTCTTTAGTTCCAAATATAATAAATCTATCTCATTTGATTCTTTATCTAGCTATCTGTATACACACACACACACACACATACAGGTATATATATATATATATATATATATATATATATATATGTGTGTGTGTGTGTGTGTGTGTGTGTGTGTGTGTGTGTGTGTGTGTGTGTGTTTTTGTGTGTATCTATAAAGGAAAAACAAGACAATAAGAAAACTGTAGTTTTAGCCGACGCGTTTCGTCTGATGTGGACTTTTTTCAAGGCAAAAACAAAATGAATTTATTGAAACAATGTATCTATAAACAACAAACAAAATGTCGTTAGCAACTAGAAGAATTTAGAAACGGTATTGTATATTCATATGGTCAACTGAAACATTATGTCAATTACTTTATGTTTGAAGGGAATATTTTCAACTACAGAAATATTGTTTGTACTGTGTTGACGGATTCAACCGTTCTTTTTTCCTTTATATATATTGCCTTTTTCTACAGGTTAATTCTGAAAATTTTTACATATATATATATATATATATATATGTGAAAAGTGAATATAAATATAAATAAATATATATATATATGTATAATTATTTATATATTATATGCGCGGTACTTATTTCAACATACAAATGCGTATGTATAGACATAACACCACCCGTATACATACATGTGTCATAGCCGAAATTGTCTACATATGTTTATATATATGTATGAGTCCCGACGGACGATCAAGTATGTATATGTATATGTGTCTGCATACATCGATGTTTGCGTTAGTACGATGAATGACAAAACGACGAAATTTCCCCCACCACTTCCACAATAACACCAATACACGCAATCTACATAAACCCAAATTTTTTAAAACAGTAATCAGTTTGTCTGACGATCGCTAAAGCGTGAAACCCAGGGTCACAAACTCACATCTATCCAACCAAATATATATATATGTGTGTGTGTGTATGTGTGTGTGTGTGTGTGTATGTATGTATATATATATATATAATGAATTAATGGATTTTATTTACTAATTCTACATATTTTTATTACTTTAAACGTTTTTTAGTGAATAGGCATATTTAAATAGACGTTCCGTTTATTTTAAGCAGTAATTTATTTCGTCTATCGTCCTGAAAATTCAAGAAATCTCATGAAAGAAAATTCCCCTTCCGACAGGATTAGACCCTCAGTTCCCCTTTACAGGAGAGGATCTGAGGTGCTTTTGAACACTCGGCTACGAAGATCTTCATAATCAAGCAAGGTTTATTCACCTCTCCTCGTTCTGATTTTTCGAAAGTCATAACGGCTCAATTTCGTATCCGAAGTGTAAGCAAAGCAACTTGTAAAGAATTCGTGGATTTTATTTATTATTTCAAGATATTTTTTATTAATTTAAATGTTATTTTAAGTGCATGACATTACTTGGGTAGACTTTTAGACCTGGATATTCTACCGGCCTGAATAATCGAGAAATCTTAATATAGAAAAACCCGCCCTCCATCTGGATTCGAACCTTCACCCCTCTTTGCAGGAAAACGGTCGTTAGATCCGATGTGCTTGTAAGCGATTTTTTTAATGTCTTAAGTGATAAAAATCATACGAAACTGGGCATTTAGGGAATTTTGGGAATCTGAAAAAGAAAGATGTGCTTAAAGGCAATATTGAACCTTACTCAACCGACGACACATTTCGTAGCCGAATCAGTTAAAGAAAGTCGGACCTATCTATTGTACACATTTTAAAACATTTGTGCAGTATTCGTAATTAATTTTATTACGGTTTTATTTCATTTTTTTTATATAGATAGCTTTAAGAATTTTTAGTTTGTGTTTATTCTTTTCATGTATAGAAGTATTTTCGACAATAATCTTTCTGAATTGCAAATCTGGACATGTATGTTGTTGTAGATGTTTAGAAATATTGGTCATGCCATTCAAATGAAAACTCAGCCGCCGAGACAACGTTATCGTAGTGTGTCCACAACCATACCTCCTTTGAAGCAGTGTCAAGCGATTACGCCCTGGCTCAACGTTCTTCACTCAACAAGTAAAAAATTTAACTTTCAGATGAACACAAGAATTTTGTCGTCGAATATAATGAACACTACAATATTTGTCTTACAATAAACAACAGCCTGATGATGACATTGTGCTATGTCGAAACTACTCGGAATAAAAAAAATATGTATCAACAGGGCGATTTTCTTTCGTCCTTCAATAACGACCCCAAAAACTTGTCTGCAAATAGGAAAGGATCCAATTGAAATTAAGTAGATATCAACTTCTTTAAAATGTTCAATGGAACGTTTCTCAATGAAAACATGCTGCCAAATTATACGCATATATATATATATATATATATATATATATATATATATATATATATATATGAGATAACGATATATAATTTTTTATATGTCAAGAAAAATATT